CTCCACATATGGCTCACCAATGGCCAAATACAATGAAATTATAACCTCTTTAGAGTTGTATTCAGTATTTCTGTAGAAACAACATAAAATCATATTTACCCTGCCACTAGCAACAATACACTGCTTGGATGGCGTAAGAGACTGAGTAACCATTACACCAAGACCCTTTTTTCATAACGCTGTTAAGGTTATTCCCATCCAAATTATACTTATAATTCAAATTATGATAACCCACATACATTATCATGCATTTATTATAATTAAAATTATCTGTCATTTATTTACCCAACTTACTAACTGATCTAAATCCTTTTGTAAAGTAGCAGCATCCTCTTCTCAGCTAGCAATATCCAAAATCTTAATACCAACAGCAAATTTAAGTAATTTATTGACCATTCTTTCATCTATGTCAATGATGTTAATCCAAAAGAGCAAAGGTCCTAAGACTGAACCATAAGGTACCCCACTTGTAACCTTAATCCAGTTTGCTTTATTCCATCCAGCCACTATTCTATCCAATTAGGCTAGATTATCCCTCACATCCATATAGATAATTTTTTGTGGCCCCTTGTCAAATGCTTTCTGAAAATCCAGATACACCACATCTACACCCTAACCCTCATGTAAATAAGTAGTAACTGTTTCAAATAATGTCAAAAGATTTGTAAGACAAGATTTTTCCTTAGTGAAAGCATGTTGACTTTCCAATAAAATTATAAACTTTGTTAAATTATTTTGCAAAGCATCTTTAAACAGACTTTCCAAAACTTTTTCCACAACTGATGTAAGACTAATGGGTCTATAATTACAGAGACAATTTTTATCACATCCCTTAAAAAGAGGAGTGACGTTAGCTAACTTCCAATCCTATAGCATCTGCCCACTATTACTTACAAAAAATAGCTGTAAGTGGCTTACATATACAATTCTAAACCTCCTTCAAAACGCTTGTGGAAATATTATCTGGCCCAGGAGATTTATCTTTCTTTAGACTTACGAATTTTTTCTTAACAAGTTCAGAATTAATGCATTCATATTGCCTTACCTTGCTTCCATCTATCAACTGTTCAAGATGAGGAATACTGCTTAAATCTTCGTTCGTAAAAATGAAGAAAAAGCAGAATTTCATAACCCAGTCATCTCGTAATCATAAGATACGAGCCTTCTTTTATCATCCCTCAAGGGTCCTAACCCTACCCTAACATTTTGCTTATCCTTAATGCATTTAAAGAGATTCTAACAGTTATTTTTTACATTTTCAGCCAACTTTTTTTCCATATATCCTTTTTTATGTCCTACTTTCCTGTTTCACAAACTTTCTTGATCGTCTGTAATCTTCGCCTGTCATACCAGTCAATGTAAACATTTTTTGTAGGTTTCTCTTTCAAATTACATCCTGAGGAGTAACCTTTAAAGTCATGAAATCGGAAAATACAATGAAAAAGATAGATAAGTTAACATATAGTATTAATACACTCACACACATAACACTTTGTTTGTGTGTACCTGGAACCAAACAAAAGAAATATGATGTATGTATCTTTTCATTTAATAAACAAAACTGTTGTACTTGGGGGAAAGGCTATATTACATGCAGTAAAGATATCCCTATTGGAAATTCAATATTTTTCATCCACTTTGGGTTCACGTGTGACTCAAGTAATGCTACTTATGCATTGTATTGTATTTGTTGTAAACAAATATATGTTGGAGAAACGGAAAATTACGTTTAAGGTTAAACTTAAACAAATCTCATGCCAAAAGTGCAAATATTATCCCATCACCCGCTAACAAACAGATTAATAAGTATGATACGAAAACAGTTAATACGTTACAAAAACCTTTTTTGTTTTCAGATACTTCTACCTTGGTATTCTCATTAAATTACAACAGTATTTGATTAAACTTATTTCATTACTATGTTTCAAATCATAGTAAATGTTATAAACGTCCTCTAAGTATAGAAACATATATACATAAAAACCTAAGATCACAAAACGTGAGAACTTTTATTATCCTTATTTAGATTTTCTTGTGGTGAAACTGACGAACATCGTTATAAAATATAAGCCGTATTAATATAATTTAAAAAACGTTTAAGAGTATATTTTCTCGTTGTTTCCTTTCGTATATAAAAACAAAACATAATTCAATGAATCTATTGTTGCAAACATGTATACATAGAAAAGTTATTCTTCCTGTACATTAAAAATGTATATGTATCTCTTTTGAGATCATTAGAATTTTATCATTATTTGCTTCTCACTTCACATCAATATTTTTATTCGATTTAATTCAGTGTATTTTTCCTTCTTGTTTACTCTAATTTAAAATATGTTTCATAGGGTTTTATACTATAGATTGTAGGATATGATCTGTTTTCTGAAAGCTTTAAAACGCTTTAACTTATATCTTCCCGTATCTGCAGTTTATAGCTGCTCCTGCCTTGGAATTATACCAAAAATTAGATTGTTGTCAGTGTAATTACATATCAAAAATAATTAGATCAAATTAACACAGATTAGGAAGTGGAAATGTAGTGAAACTGGCCCTAAATAAATCAAATCAATATTTTTAAACAAAAACTAAATTTACTTGATACACAAATTATTTTTTAATACATTGTTACTTACAAATTACTGTTATAAAGTCGGGACTTACAACATGAGGTTTCTGTCTTTAGGTATAACGCTATGTGTGGTAAGTTTTGCTCATTTTTATTTTTGTCTTATAATGATGGCCTTTTTAGTAACGATACATTTAACACAGTTTCCCATTTGACCACCAGGGTCTCAATCAGACTGATACATAAGTACTGTTTTTCAAAACTACATAAAAAATCAATCAATAAACTCTCGTGCAACTACATTCCCTAAAGTAATTCCCCATAGTAGCAGGATATATATATATATATATATATATATACAAGTAGTATTACTCGTGAAAATTCACGGAAATCACCAAACGCCCTATAGAAATATGCGCACCTTAATTTTCAACTATCGTTCACGTATTCATGTCAATCTTTAAGTACGTCTGTACAGTCAATCGTAAAATCTCTCAAAAACTCCTTTAATCCTCGTATAGGTAGCGACATTAAAACTTTAAAATATTCATCTTTATATTACTGTTTCGAACGGCTCTTTACATGTTAATGTCTATTGCCAATTATTTCGTTTGTTTCCCCCACCCCCCACCTCCAGTGGCACAGCGATATGTGTGCGGACTTATAACGCTAGAAACCAGTTTTCGATACTCATAGTGGGCAGAGCACAGATAGCCCTTTATCAAGTAATAGAATTTGACAGTCACCCTTATAACATAATTAGTAGATCTGTTAAAATGTTCTGATGCTAAAATGTAGAAGGGGTATTTATCAAGCAATCCTTATATCCAGAAATCTGGATATCGAATCTAAAAAACACAACTCTTCTCCAGAGCATCAAGAAAATACCACTAGGGGTTTAAATATTTAGTTTATGTGCTGCAAGCACAAGATAAATCAGGTATTCTGTGATGACATATTTTGTTGTAAAATTGAATGTAAGTGTAAACTAGAAAGATGAGTTAGTAAATCACGAGCATACAACATCCATGACTATATTATTTTAAAGCTATTTATGTTCCCAAGCCCCAAATTATACCTGCTTACCATTGTCAGCACTATTTGTTACAGAATATATAGACTATTTTCATGTTATCTTGTACCTACTTTTACAATTTGTACTGTATTGATTCCTTGGTGACGTTAAACATTTTCCCTAAATAACAACAACATTTTTCTACAGGTGGTGCAAGAAACGTTGTCTACACACACACACATAGATGTGCAGGCACTAGGCAATACAAAACCATAGAAATACAGATACAATAGAATAGAATAAGGAGACATTGACAACAGAAAAGATTAGAATTAAACGTCCTTTAAAATATTATTTGCTATTATGAATTTTGGAAAAGTGAGTTGTTTTTTTTTAGTTAACAAGTTTGCATTATTATAATAATTCATGCGCTTAGTACTTGACACTAACGTGAGTTAAAAATGTTTTTATTACCCAAGGGAACCTTCAATGTATAAAACACTGGCAAAGCAAAGCATTTAAGACAGCAACGGACTTTGAAATTAGACCCTAGGACAATCCTGAGCAACTCTCGCCTGCAAAGCGAAATCAGTGATTATGATAGTGAATCCTCAGACCCAGAAAGTCATTGCAATGAAATTAGGCATATCGTTTGATACTGTTAACAGTAGAATAGACAATAATTTAAAGTTTAAGAAGACACAAAAGCTAAAAGCTTGCCATCTTCCGGCCACATCTGGAAATATACGATTGTTTTCATGAGAAAAACATGGCAGAAAAAATTGGAATCACAGCAATCCCATTCGACCACTTCCTCCTCAAACCCCGATCAGTGGAGGGGGTCTGTCAATATGTTGTCTAAGATTGACCTTCACAAAACTTGGTCGTTAGATAGATCACGATTGTTGATGGAGTAAGTAGCTTTAAGTGTACCATGGAACCTGGAACATCGTTTTTATTAAGTTCAATCAAACATTAGTATGTGGTAATGAAGTCTTTGGAGAGACTTGTTTATTGTAAAGAAGTTTTATGCTAAGTGCACGTTTGGGAAAAGAAACAAATTATTTAGTTACAGATGAAATATAAGTATATGACCTTACTTTTTCGAGTGAAGAACAACTTGTAATAAAATTCAATTGTAATATCTAAAGAAAAACGTAGTAAAATCTCTTAACACTTGCTTATTATTTCGAAGTTTTATATGAACAACATGTTTTGATTATGTTCTGGAGGATTTTACATACTTCTTTCCATATGAAGACATCTCTCATATAATGCAAAACGAAATATAAATTATGCGACGAACAGAGATGTCAGGTAGTGTTCTTAAAAATATGTTAGTAGTATTAGTAATTTAAAGTACTTAGGTAGTTACATCATTTAAACACCACACCAATATTTGCTCTCAGATCTACTTACTTGGAGAATTAGTGTGTAGGCTAATCAGATCAGGATCACTGGAGGTCACAGCCTTATTGTGAGTGAAATTCTGAGTCACTGATGTGCACCTAGGGGTTTCAGTAAAAGTACAAATATTTCTCAGAAAATGTTAAGTAAACCATTCAAATAAAGCAAAGGTTTAATGCAATACAAGTAAAGGTTCTGCAATCAAAACTGTTTTCTTTTTACAATGTGGGTATAAATATCCAAACCATACATCTTATATTGGGCCACAGATCCAAATAGTATGGTGTATTGCAATATCGATTGTCTTCAGTCAAAACGAAAATAGTAAATACAGAGATAGTATAAACACTTATCAGATTTCGTGATGGTGTAATTAATAAGTAAAACAATATCACTGCATTATATATAAAGGGATTTAAAAAGAGAACTTCATTAAAAGTTATGAAAGAATGAAAGAAAAATATATTTTATTTGTGGTTGGGAAGAAAGCATTTCCTTACATTGTTGTATGAAATAAATATCAAATAACACAAAATATGAAGACTGAAGACAATGAAACAATACCGGACGAAATGCTAGATTACCTATTAGAGAGAATGTAACGGAAAAGTAAATCTACTACAAGAAAACAAATAATTGCCATATGAGCACTTATCAGTCGACGAAGATATTTAGGTCATCTGAACAGAAACAAGCAAACTTTTATGGATTTTGAAAAGTATTAATTTCATAAAACTGCAAACATACTCATAAGAAATCTTAGCCTTCGTAACTAAACAAGTAAGCTATTTAAGAGTTCAATATTATTAACTAAATAAGAAATAGAAAAGACTAATAGAATTCGTACGGAAGGCTACAAAAAAAGCTATCTATGAATAATTTTACTTAATTTTGAACTTATAGTCTAGAGAAAAGGCTAAATATTGGGATTTGATCGTCACTCTTATACCTCACCCACCACTCCAAAGTACAGAGTGTGGTTTTTAAAGCAATGGGAAGTAAACCCGGAATCTGCTGGCTTACAGGCTAGGCACATGAACCAGTAGGCCAAGCCTAGCCTATCTCTGATAAAAACTACTTATGGTACTTATGGTTTAAAATGATCTTTATAACCTCTTTCAACTTTTATGGAACATTGAGTGTTTATTGTCTATCCTAAGAAAACAATGCTGATATCTAGATTATTGTCCTAAAATAAGTACGGGTTTTTACTACAACAAATCGTGCTTTTATGTGGAAGATTAGAAATTGTGACGTGTTAAGTTGAGTTTTTAATCTCTATCATCATGTGTTAGATTTGATAGCGAAATCAAATCTAAATTGACTCTATTGTTATGAACGAGGATAAAATACCTGTGTTAGGTTTAATGACAAAACCAAAGCTATATGGATTGTTATTGTTGTGTAGAGTCAGAGTTAGTTACTTTTGTAAATAATGTCTAAAAACTTCCCGCTAATTGTCGAAAGTTAAATATTCCATAAAAACCTCTTAAAGATGTGTATCTAGAGTTAGTTAGCAGCTTCTGTTATTAATGTCCAAACAAACTTCCCGATATGTATTAGAAATTAAATATTCCATAAAAACATCTTAAAATGTGTTTAGAATTAAGAGTTAGTTGCTTCTGTGAGTAATGTCTAACAAACTTCTCACTTTGTGTTGAAAGTTAAATATTTTTTAAAAACCTCTTAAACATGAGCTATCTGTGCTGTGCCCACCACAGGTAATAATAACCGGTTTTTATTATTATAAGTCTTCAGACTTACCGCTGAGCCAATGGGGGGAGAAGGGCAGGGGATTGATCAGTGTTACGTAATATATTAAGGGTGTTACAATCTGTGAGGATGGAGATGTCAAGAAGGAAGAAAAATTGCGTAAAGTAAGTTTTGAATTGATATACCAAGTGTACTAAAGAGTTGATATAGTGTACAACCTAGTTGGTATGTTGTACTATGTAGTTGATATAATGTACAACCTAGTTGGTATATTGTACAATCTAGTTGGTATATTGTACTATGTAGTTGATATAATGTACAACCTAGTTGGTATATTGTACTATGTAGTTGATATAATGTACAACCTAGTTGGTATATTGTACAATCTAGTTGATATAATGTACAACCTAGTTGGTATATTGTACTATGTAGTTGATATAATGTACAACCTAGTTGGTATATTGTACTATGTAGTTGATATAATGTACAACCTAGTTGGTATATTGTACTATGTAGTTGATATAATGTACAACCTGGTTGGTATATTGTACTATGTAGTTGATATAGGGCAATATATAGTTGATATAATGTACTACCTAGTTGGTATATTGTACTATGTAGTTGATATAGTGCAGTATATAGTTGATATAGTGTAATATATAGTTGAAATAGTGCAGTAAAAAGTTGATATAGTGTACTACCTATTTGATATATTGTACTATGTAGTTGATATAGTGCAGTAAATAGCTGATATAGTGTAACAATATACCAACTAGGTAGTACATTATATCAACTATATATTGCACTATATCAACTACATAGTACAATATACCAACTAGGTTGTACATTATATCAACTATATATTACACTACATCAGCTATTTACTGCACTATATCAACTACATAGTACATTATATCAACTAGGTAGTACACTATATCAACTACATAGTACATTATATCAACTAGGTAGTACACTATATCAACTACATAGTACAATATACCAACTAGGTTGTACATTATATCAACTATATACACTATGTAGTTGATATAGTGTACTATCTAGTTGTTATATTGTACTATGTAGTTGATATAATGTACTACCTAGTTGGTATATTGTACTAGGTAGTTGTTATAATGTACTACTTAGTTGGTATATTGTACTATGTAGTTGATATAATGTACTACCTAGTTTTTTGTTGTGTTTTCTATACAGAATGTTTTTCTTGTGATTCTTTTATACTTTTTCATATTTTTGTTTCTAAATAATTTTGCTTTACCTGCTTTGATCCAGTGCAACCTCATGTTTCAGTTCTGTTTTACATAACCTGCACTCTGATTTTTACTTTCCAATTTAATTCTATGGCTTGGCGTTTTCTAAGCAAGTATTTTATAAACTAGAATGTTTACATAAATAACATATTAGTGTATCTTGAAGTTTTCTCAATAAATGTTTCAGTATGCTTCTGAAGTCTGTTATTTTACTTGCATAGATTGATGATAGCATATTGGGCTATGATGAAACGTGAGTTTCATATAATAAAATCGCAGACAACTGATTTGTAACTGACGATTAATATATATTTGATGATCTTTCTATAAAGTGTAACTGAAAGATAATGCATCACATGTTACCAAAACATTGTTTCAAAAATCTATGTGATGAAAATATATGTTTTGAAATAGTCGATAAACTTGTTTTTTTGAGCCTACAAACTGAAATCTTCATGTTTAGTTTGCATTGAATCCTTTATTTGTGTAGTAACAGGAGGCTAGTACGATGTTTCGTGATAAATTCAGTGTTGTTTTAATAGAGTATTACGTAAATAAAATGTATGGACTCTAACTGATATAGTGACATGGATATAATGTACAAACATTTGTATGGAAACTAATCCGGTATTTTATAAGCTAATACGTTTAAAGTATAGTAGTTATCTTGAAGTTTTGTTTTAGTATGCTTGTCAAGTCTGTGATTTTACATTGTTATGACAAACAGTAAATATGTTTGAGTTATAAAACGTGAAAGAGTAATCAGTTGATGTATAATTAAAGGTCATCTTAAGATTATGACTGTCAACTCTTTTTCGGTTAAAAATTATATTCGTTTATGATAAACAGTAAATATGTTTGAGTTATAAAACGTGAAAGAGTAATCACTTGATGTATAATTAAAGGTCATCTTAAGATTATGACTGTCAACTCTTTTTCGGTTAAAAATTATATTCGTTTATGAAAAATGTATTTGATGCTTTGGTTAACTAATACGTTTAAATGTTATAGTGTACAAAAAGTGAAGTTTTGAAAGATACAGAATTAGAATTTCTGGTTTTTCTGATAGTTTTGTAGAATTGATAGCATTACTTGTTTTAGCCTTAGTCGGACACGTCACTTGGTTTTACACAAGGTATCAAGTTTTCTCACCTTGCCTTCAACTGGGATGCGTCAGTAATAGTTTAAAATAGTGAAATATTTGTAGTACTCGTTTTGTTTTTCGAAATTGTAAGAATATTACTTATCAAGCCTATATGCATAAAGTTACAGTCAGCAAGAAACAAGCTCTAAACAAAGATTTGTGAAATTATCTACAGAAAGGTAAGAATAGTAATGGTTAAACATAACCATTTATGTAGATCCTTTAAACTTTAACGAAACGAATAAAGTTACAAAGCTAAATAAGAGATTTTCAGGGCAAATAGAAGTTAAATATTATTTATGGAAATAAATTAGTGTTAAGTGTTTTACTTTCAGAAAATGAAAAAATTATGTCATGCAAGTTATATATAGAAGCAAAAAATAAAGAACTAATGAATTAGTGAAGTGTTTTGTATATAAAACGATGGATAATTGTAAAAAGTGTGTAAGGTAAATTATTTGTTATAATATTTGCCTCATTCAAATAATTGATAAATTAAGATAATATGTGTGATAAAAACTGACATATGTAATACACTATGTTATAGTAGTTATCTCGTTGAATTAGTTATTTTACTTGTAAAAGCAAGATAGCAGGTATGTTAAAATCTCACAGAACTATAGAAACACTGCCATTAGTTACACGAACTACCTAAAGTAGCACTATCTTTAGTAAGAACTGGTAATAATAACATCATCTGCCCATAGAAGCACTGCGAGCTCTTGTTAAGCATATGAAATCTGTAAGTGAAAACTATACAGTAGCTGTTAACATTTGTAAAATTAAATATTTTGTCAAGAAATCATGTATTGTTATACATAATAAAAATCATAGTTATATGGGAAGAAGAATAGCATAAGAATATAAATAATTCATAAAACTAAACTAGTGAAACAGTAAGACTGTATGTTAAATTCATTGCATGATATTTAGAGATGATGTAAAAAATATTCGTCCTTTTCAGGACAGATATATAGAAATAAGATGAAATACTATTGATTAATCGATCATACTATGAACTATGTATTGTCCGTATTAGCATCATCCGCCTATAGAAACACTACACTTAGTAACACAATCAATCTATAGAAACACCATCTCCCTATATAAAACGTATGCAATATATAAGCGAAAACTATAAAGTTGACGTGATTAAAACAGCAGATTTAATGTTTTACTTATAGAGCTAAACTGTAATTGTGATAATTGTAAGTACAATGTTATGTAAATCAGATTAATTATTAATTCTAAGACATTGTTACTATAAAATTGGTGTCATGTTGATCTACAACACCCTCTGGTGGTTCGCTCGCGAACTATTTTCACGCTTACCATACCAAAGCACTCTCTAATGCCACTTAGTAGACTAGCAACACTCTCTCTCTTGAGTAACACTTGAAATATGATGTCACGTGACATTTCCTAGGAACGAGCTCTCTGGCAGTAGATAACTTCTGCCGTCAAGTGTCATGGTGGCCTAGCAACATTATGTGAACCATTTCGCAAGTTATGTTTACTTTTACGTTCTGAATTTTAAACTTAATGTTTCATGGTGGCATATTTTGTAAATAGCCACAATGTTTACTGAATTAATTGATCATCAGCACACAAATATAGGTACAAGCAAGTTCATGAACTTCATGAGTAACTCTAGTTGAAAAAAAAGATAATTTCACAAACACGTACAAGAACTATTCTAGAAATAAATCAAATACAAAAATCATTCTTACTTTTCAATTTTTCTTTGGTCTTGTCCATCAGCTGAAAATATGGAAAAACTCAATTAAAAGCAAAAACTTGAATAGAAATTTTACAAATGTCTGTAACTAAGTTTTCATTAAGATGAAGCCCAGTTTAACTGTTTATTTTTACTAAGTATGAAAATAAATACAACAGTGCTTTATGACGTTAGCTACTTAAATACAGCAGTGCATTTCGACGTAAGCTGCTTAAAAACAACAGTGTACTTCGACGTAAGCTACTTAAAAGTTAAATAGAACAGTACATCCTTACGTCAGCTATTTAAACACAAAAATACATTCCGACTTTAGCTACTTAAATACACGGTGATTTCCGACGTCAGCTACTTAAATACAACAGTGCATTTCCGACGTCAGCTACTTAAATACAACAGTGCATTTCGACGTCAGATGCTTAAATACAAAATGCATTTCGACGTTAGCTACTTAAACGCAACAGCGCATTCTGACGTCAACTACTTAAATATAGCAGTGACTTCCGATGTAAAGTACGTAACTAAACAGTGTATTCCAACGTCAGCTATATAAATACAACTGTGCACCCCCATAACAGTTACTTAAATACAACAATGCATTCTGATGTACGATACTTAAATATAACAGGTCGTTACGACAACAGGTACATAAATATAACAGATCGTTTTGACAACAGCGACTTAAATACAACAGGTCATTTCGACAATAGCACTTAAATATAACAGATCGTTTCGACAACAGCTACGTAAATACAACAGTGTGTTTCGGCAACAGCTACTTAAATATAACAGGTCGTTTCGACAACAGCACTAAAATATAACAGGTCATTTCGACAATAGCACTTAAATATAACAGTGCGTTTCGACAATAGTTACTTAAATACAACAGATCGTTTCGACAACAGCTACTTAAATACAACAGTGTGTTTCGACAACAGCTACTTAAATATAACAGGTCGTTTCGACAACAGCACTTAAATATAACTGGTCATTTCGACAATAGCACTTAAATATAACAGTGCGTTTCGACAATAGTTACTTAAATATAACAGGCGATTTCGACAATAGTTACTTAAATATAACAGGTCGTTTCGACAATAGTTACTTAAATATAACAGGTCGTTTCGACAATAGTTACTTAAATACAACAGTACGTTTCGACAATAGTTACTTAAATATAACAGTGCGTTTCGACAATAGTTACTTAAATATAACAGTGCGTTTCGACAATAGTTACTTAAATATAACAGGTCGTTTCGACAACAGCTTCCTTCTATTCGTATATTTTGCTAGTTTTCCTCACGTACATATTCTCCTTCACCGTGAGTTGTGTGCTGAGAATGAAGTTCTGTCCTTGTCTCTATTATCCAATTTTCTAGGGGAGGTATTTGTGTTTCCTCTGGGGTTTATTTCTAATAAAGAGTTGGTACATTTTAGCATTAATCTCAACTTGATCCCTGATACTTGGAACAAATTTGGTGAATTAAAACATTATTTGTGTTGTGATTTGAGGGATTTTCTGTCCCTCGTACGTTATTACACTTGGATTTCATCTATTCTCACATTACTAGTAAACCCACATTCGTCAATCTGGAGCAAATAATTATTAATTGCTATACACATGCACACCAGTTGTCCATATTATTGGTACTCAAGGCACCATGAAAGCCAGAGCCTTGCACTTATAGCTGTGACGAATGAGTGGCTTATGGGTTGCAGTCTATTCGTGAAAATTAGCAGCACGGAATTCCGTACTCAAAACGAAAGTACTGGTAGAACTGAACTCTCACTAATCTTCTGGTTGAAAGGTGTAATGGCTGATGATGTACGGTTTCGTTTCGTAACGCGTTTCATATATTTTGTGGAATAAAAAATACTGAATTTTAGTTAGTCATGTCAGTAATCCACATTCCATATTCCAATGTCCACTGGTCTACCATTTCTTCAACATTAACCATAGTGGTTTTTTGATATGAATAGGTTGGCCAGATCGTTTTGGATAAGCATCCCATTTCGCTCTGAAGGTCCATTACTTCCATTTCTCATGACATCTTCGCTAAAACTGAATACATACCGATCTTTATGAACCCCATTCTGGAGTGTATCAATTAAAATTCAGTGAGGGCGGACCACTTATCAGATTGAAAAGTGTTTCTACAATACTTTTGGTAACATAATGTATATAATCATAAACCAAGATTTCTTTTCGTCCTAACCAATTCAGATACGTTATGAATACTTGACATTATTATTGTGTTATTTATTTTTTATTAATATCTGACAAACAATTGGTATAATACAGTGCATTTTAATCGATCAAGATAGGAGTGATGAATCAGACTTAGAATATTCAACATGAAAGAAACATTATGCACACAAGGAATCCGATTACATGAATCCCTAACTTTTAACAGTTGACCAGATAAATGCAGCCAGCCACTAGCACTCACCGTTTTGTAATTTTTATAATATGCTTACAACTGAAAGTGCGAAGCGTTTTCAGAAGTATCATGTTTTGAGCTCCAGACCTTTAGATCCGCAATTTGGCACTTAAACCATTAGGCCACGCTCGGCCATAGGTTATGAAAATAAAGAAACATTTGGAAATTATGTCTCCAGAAACTTTTTACAACAGAGGTTCGTGATATTATTTTCTTATGTTTGGTTTGTTTTGAATTTCGCGCAAAGCTACACGAGGGCTATCTGCGCTAGCCGTCCCTAATTTATCAGTGAAAGACTAAAGGAAAGGCAGCTAATCATCACCACCCACCGCCAACTCTTAGGCTACTTTTTCATCAAAGAATAGTGGGACTGACCGTCACATTATAATGCCCCCGCGGCTGAAAGGGCAAGTATATTTGGGATTCGAACTCGCGTCCCTCAGATTGAGAGTCAAGCGCTCTAACCACCTAGTCATGCCGGGTCTATTTGCTTGGGCTATGACTGTTTATTTTCCGTAAGATTGAATTTTATAGTTGACTGACCTCTAAGTAGTTCAATTACTTAACCGCCAAATAATATTTTTTATTGCTACATTACTTTTCATTGCTAAAGATATATTTGCTGTTTAATCATGAAAGCATTTACTGCTAGTTGTTTATATATCAGAGGACGTATAATATACATAGAATTCATTATTTATTATAAAGTTTTATTTTTTGTTGCATTTCGCGCAAAACTACTCGAGGGCTACACGCGCTAAATGTCTTTAATTTTCTAGTGATTAACTTCAGAGAAGGCAGCTAATCATCACCACCCACCGCCCTCTCTTGGGCTACTCTTGTCAGACTGTACAGTGGTAATTGACCATGAGTGTTATAAGAAACCCGCGCTCCCAAAGAGGGGGATGTGATTTTACTTTATTTTGTTTTCATTGGCGGTAAGTTACGCGAACATCCGAACCTCAGTTAAACAATTCGGTTAATTCATTCCAGGTCTTTCGTTTCGATTTGGTGATTTTTTAAAGGTCTTTTTAACTCATATTTTACACATAGAACACATTGGATATATTCTGCTTACTTTTTGTCAACATTTACAAATTGTTTTTTTTTTGTTGTTGTTTTATGTGAGACTGAAAATCGTTTGAAGTGGAAAAGATTAAGGACAGTCCTCATATGTTTCCAGGAAATTAGTTTCACGCATGGTGGGCAGAAGAATTAGTGAATGGAGTCACGGATACTTACAGTAAGACAGTGGGCTTATAAAGGAAAAAATCGGGTTTCGATACTTGTGGTGGAGAAGCACAGGTAATTCATTGTGTAGCTTTGTGCTTAACTACAAACAATCACTAATACTATGTCGAAAGCTAAGAATTTGAGAGGATTAGTTGTATTACTCTGTTTGTGCATCCGCCTACTATCTGGCACAGTGAAGCCGTTAGTTTCATATAATATTTCCAAACCAAACGTTTATGCTAACTAGGTTCAATTAAAAATCACCAAGACTAGCGGATGACATAAAAATTAGTTTAATTTTGTCACAGTTACATGTCCAGAATATATCTTAACAAAAAGACGAGGCGTGTTCCAATAATTACCCTGTTTAGATACGTATTAGGAGGTCCGAGGCTCGAGCCGTAGTGTCACTGAACACTTTCAGCATTTTTGCTGAGGAAGCGTTATAAAGGTGACAGCCAATATTATTATTCACTTCAAGGAATCGAACCAAGCTCTTCTGGTGATGGATGCTACAGGCTATTTGCCTTTCTTTTTGTCAATATTTCAAAATTAGGACCTGCTATGTCTGCATCCTAGGGGTTCTGTGATCTGGACGTTTAGTTCATCTGCGGATATGATGCCATTCGAATTAAAAACATGAATATAAATACTTCTTTTATGAGGGGAGCTTTAAAGCATTGTCGGGAAGGAATCATATATTATTTAGCTACATTATACAATATTTAGACCTTTACAAATTCTTACACATGCAATGCATCATAAAATGGATTCTCTCCGTAATAACTTTATGAGAGTAACAAACTTGGCTGTTAGTCCCTCGTGCTCTCAATGGAAAGAAGCAATAAAATGCATATTTTATGGGACATAAGAACACCATTCTCTATTCGTACCCAACATAAATACAACTCCAGAGTTTACTGTTGATTAAAACGTAGTCTACTGTCTCTCCAGAAGTACAAAGTCTAACATTGTATCAGACTGAAATAAAAGCTAGATGCCATCCTTCCAAGATTCTAGTCATCATACAACACAAGATCTGCTGACTTAGTTATACCTTCATGAAACTCTTTTACGACTCCCCTATATACTGCTATTAAAGCTTAAAATAATTGTCTTTGTCCACTGGGACACAGTTAGTATTCGAAAGGTTTGAAGTGTTTTGTAATCTTATGTGAGTATGCTGTCCATAACCACTCCACAAATGCAGAACCGGTTAACTGATTTAAGTATGAGAAACTATTAACCACCCTAGACCTACAGAATATGTTTACCAATTTAAATATCGGAAACTAAGAATCATTCAATCTAATTTAGTAGATAGCTGAGGTCAAATAATATGAAAGTCAAAA